CTCAATGCGTTCCACCGAGTGCGTGCCGCTGCAAGGCAGCTGCCCTATCTGCTGGACAACCCTAACAGCAAGGTAAGGAAGAGCGGGATACCATGACGACTTTTTTTTGTGTCGGGCCCTCCCTCTTCTTTATTACGAAAAAAAGGTGGATTACACAATCAGGTGAGAGCTGCGGCCCTTAGATACAGATTATCTTTTAAGAATTTTCTCTCCGCGGAACTATTTTCGCACTCAGAAATGACGTCAGGCTTGGACGCTATTTAACATCAGAAAACTTTGAGGACTCCATCTCAAGAGGTGAGACCATCTTGTCACGTAGTGGCACCCAAAACCAGTCAGTTGAAATTCAGAGCAAATAGTATTTTTAAATGTCCCCAAAGAATAAGATTATTTAATTTTAGAGAAAACATTGAAATCACGGTAAATCACCCCAGAACACAACCGAACAGAACTGTATAGACTGAAATTGATATAAATAAGAATCTCTATAGAATGTTCAAATGTGTCTATTCCTTTTAAGCTAAAAAAAATTAAATTCAAGCGTTCAATTTCAATTGAAATTAAAGGTAGTTTTTGGATGACACAAGAATCGAAAAACTTTGTTATCTACTTCTCAGGAGGGCCAGGCCAAATGAAAAGCATTGCAGCATATTTAAAAGGTGAGTGGAGTTGAAAATAAAAGCTAATTGCCGTCCAAAGGTTTTAATAACGGTATAGGTGAATAGAGACACAAGTTAGAGAATGTAAGAGTGTATTATGTGAGAAAGATCAGTCTCCAGTGGGTGGAAACAACAACAACAATAAAACAACAAAAAACTATAGCAAAAAAACATGGTGTTGAACCATGACGCCCACCCCCCCGCGCGCCCCAACTGTCTGGCAGAAACGGGACCGTTTAAAAAACGTATTTAAACTTTTTCGGGAGGTTTGACCCGAGGGGGAGGGGGGGTCACTTCGAAAAGTCATTGTACAACCCGAAAAAAGTAAGAAAAAAAAAAAAATTAAAAATAAAATAAAATAGTATAAAAATAAAATAGTAAAGAAATCAAAAATAAACCCGATCAAGCAGACCCGCCCTTTGTTTGAACGAAGTGCCAGCTCCATATCGCCTTCACCCCGGGCTGCTGTACCTACCGACGGCGTTTGGATAGGCCTGCAGCCAGGGTCCCAACCTTTAAGTTACTGTGCACTTCTGTACGCCAACTGAGGCTTTCGGGCCGGCCTACCAGCCCTCTTAGATTTGCTCCGCGAACATTAAACGAATAATGAAATAGAATAGATATCTACCTAGTCTGCCTCAAGCCCTGAATCGGTTCAATATACAGCACATCCGAGGAGGATACAGAAGTGATCTATTTTTCTAGCTTTTTTGGTCTGGAGAAGGGGGAGGGGGGTACTTTTAGTAGCACAAACAGACTATTAACCAGGCATTAGACCCGCTCTACTGCTATTTATAAGCAGAAGGGTGGTTTAACAATGATCAGCCAATCAAAAACTAACATTACAAGAATATCCTGCAAAGCGGATGTTGAAATTCGAAAAATTGCGCTCAGGAGAGCCCAAAACGTTCTGCGGGTGGCCGGGTGGCTGAACCGCCAGGGCTCGCATGGCCGCTCACGACAGGACACACGACGAGGAAGGAGTCCTCTAGACCCCGGAATCTTTTAGGACCACTTCAGTAAGTTGCCCTGGCTTTTGGTTCGTCGCTATACATAGCTACTGAAAACTTAAAACTCGTTTTTATCGGAATGACTTTTTGCAAACGGTGTGCAACCTCCAGGCCATAGTTTTGGAGCTATCGACTTAATATTTGGCCCGAATGTTGTCCACTTTTGTGCCCAGGATCTGACAAGGGCGATTTTTTATAACTCAACCTAAACTAGGGAAATAGTACCCAAATTTTAACCCATTTTTTGGTAATTGTTTACTTTAGTGACTCCTTGCCCTGGAGTCACTCAAGTATACCATCGGAAAGGTATTTTTCAGTAGAATCCTGAACAGTATTTCTATATTGGCGCTCGAGTCTGGTTTTCCTCAAAATTAAATAAATATGCGTCGCCGCTAACCTTCAGGTGCACTTTGAAGACGGCAGAATAACTTACGTTTACGGCTAGTCCTGACGTTGATCGCTCCGGCTGGGGTTTTTAAATCATTGCTCCTGCATCAAAGACTACGCCTGATTCATATAGTGCGCTTGTTAAGCCTCGAATATGAGACCAACCTTGCATTTCATAGTAGAGCAAAACCGTCTTAGGGGCATGTAGTACATACCCATAGGTCACTTTTAAGAAGTGGTGCCCAAGCCGTGCCCGTGTCTGGTACGGTCTAGGCGGGGTTGCATACCTCGCAGGGGCAAAGTTTGCAAAATAGCTAAAACAGTGTATTCCGACTGGTTTTTCGAGCCGATATCGATTACAATGGATACAGACACATAAAAGACACTTGAATTTCACCAACCCGCTTGTGTATTGCGGGTTGCCTACCCCTGCGGCGCCAAAATATCGCTAAAACTCGCTGAAAATTGCTAAAAGTAGTTGTTTTTCAGTCATAATGTACCCGGAGTGGTGTGTGTGTGTGTGTGTGTGTGTGTGCGTGTGTGTGTGTGTGAGAGAGAGAGAGAGAGAGAGAGAGAGAGAGCGACAGAGAGCGCACCCGGGATGCGTGCCTACCCGCATTGGGTGGATGTGTGTATGCTATGAGTTTGACTATGGGATCGTGTGTTTATTGCGCTGCACTATTTTGTGTGTGTGTGTGTGTGTGTGTGTGTGTGTGTGTGTGTTTGCATTCCTACGTTTAAATGCTGGCACGATTTGAATTTGGCGGCACTCGCGCGCCCCCCACCCGACCGCTAGTGCTATGCCGCGCAGGGAGCGCAGCGCGTCGCTGCGTTCCCCCACTCCTTCCCCCACTCCATGCGCTCCCCCTGCAGCGCGCTGGCCGGCAACAATGCAGGCCGCCTGCCTGGGCGGAGGCGGCGCGCGTTGCAAGGCGGTGACTAGCAAGCGATTGCCGCGTAAACTTTTCGGTTGGTCGGCTCTTGAGTCTTTCTGTGTAGTGCTGTGCTCAGTGAATATGTGACGCGTCTCCAAAGTGTTTTTAAGTGTGTGTAGTGACAAGCTCTTCATCAGTTGGTAAGTTTAAGTGTTGTTTGGTGCTGTAGTTTAATTAGGAGTGTTCCCCGTGCCTCTCTAACGTATCCCGTATCTCTGCAGCTCTTGTCAAGATGAAGAGACTTAGAATAATTGATCCAAATGTCCAAGTTGAGCCACGGAGAGACACCGACTGGTCACGTTGTGTTGTATGCCAGACCAATAGAGATGAGAACCTCCTTTCGCCCATACTAAACAAAAAATCAAAAAAGGGAGAGGGTATCTCCACTTTGAGTAGAAATCTTCCTCAATTCAAAGCACTTGGGAAAGTGCCTCGTAATGCTGACGTTGATGCTTTGAATTCCGGTCCTGGTATTGAAGAAAACCTGAAATCAAACGATGCAAAATGGCACAAGAGTTGTTTTTTGATGTGCACAGACAGCAAACTGGAAAGAGTGAAAAGTTCTGCCTCAACAGAAAATATACCACCTTCTACTCCCCCAAGTGTACTGACTCGACACGGCTCTGGTATATTTACCACCCCAGTCATACCGTGCCGAATTTGCGTGTTTTGCTCCAAACCTGGAACAAAAACATACCCGTTGAGCAGGATACTCGAAGTAGAAAAAATACAGGAAGTAGCGAGCCACACCAGGGACAGCAGAGTATTGGTTCTCCTACAAGCATGGCAGAGTCCCGCAGGTGTATGGTACCACAACAGCTGTCGAAGCTCTTACACCAGAGAAAAAGAACAACAGAACGTCTCATCGCCGCCCTCTTCAGCGTATGCTGACGCGTTGACAGCCGTTATTGACCATATTAATAGAATGAAACTTACCTCTGAAGTCCTGCCTGTATTTGTCATGACTGACCTTGCTCATTTGTACTCCGCAAAATTAAAGGAAAGTGGCATTGAAATAAGTGCACACACAAGCCGCCTAAGAGATGAGCTGCTGGCAAAATGTCCTTACCTGGAGACGTCGGGGACCCCTGGCCAAAAGTCTCTAATTGCCTTCAAAACTGATTTAAACGAGACATTGAGAAGAGAGTGCTCTATGACTTCCGGTGAACAGGCGGAAATTGACAGGGCGGCAGATATTCTGCGACTTCACATGTTCAACCAAGAATCTTCCTCTGCATCGACAGGCACGTCGGCTGATTGTGTGTCTGCAAGTACACCACCAATGCTGCAATATTTTGTCGACAGAGTTATCAACGGCCCTGGTGCTTCTGAAAACGGGGACAATGTGTGCTTGACAATTGCTGATCTACTTTTTTATCATTCAAAGAAGTCACGGAAGAGTGGAAAGTTTCGCCGCCATCAAGCTGAGCGGGAAACACCAGCACCTGTTTACATGGCAGCAAAGCTGTATGGTGCCACAAGGAGCGAGGAACTTGTAGACAAGAGCCACAAACTCGGTCTTAGTATCTCATATGATAGACTGAGGACGATTCTCATGGAAAGGGCAAACAGAGCATGCGCACTCTATCTCCAAGATGGTGTGGTGTGCCCACTCAGTCTTCAAAAAAATGTCTTCACGACGGTGTCCGTCGATAACTTTGACCACAATACTAGCTCTACGATGGCGAAGGGAGCGTTCCATGGCACTGTAATATCCATTACTCAACATGGACCACCAGGTACTAATTATATTTGCACTGTACTGCACGAATTTTCATGATAAAATGGATCCTGTGTGTGGCCCGCGTGCGCATCTTGTGGACACCGCGTGCGCTTGATAGTACCGAGGGCCGCCGAGCTGTTGACTGCGTGGGCGTACCGGTGCGGTCTGTGCGCCGTGCCCGCGCAGTCAACAGCTCGGCGGCCCTCGGTACTATCAAGCGTACGCGGTGTCCACAAGATGCGCACTTGGGGATCATCCAGAAAGTACGTCCGTCATTCGCCGTTACGAACCCTCCAAATCAAGGCAATGCAAGCTCTCATGGCGCCTGATGGGTAGGCAAAATCATGCATGCCGTGCATGCGCGTATTGCGGGATGGCCTACCCCGAGTTTTGCAGGCGCCGAGCCTCTGTAATTTGCAGGATGATTTTGAGAGAAACGGACGTACTTTCTGGACGATCCCTTGGTCCACACGCGCCGCGCATGTTTCGCGCACGCGTTGTTCTCGGCGTCCATGTTATCATTTCACTGAACTTTCAATAAAAGTAAGTGTGCTATATCGGATTAATGATTGTTACATATTTTTCTCTTTTGACAGGCGTACCTCGTCATGCTGATGACTACACAGCTGTTAACCCCAGGAAGATTCTGGGGCTTCCCCAGGAATACGCGGTTGTGCCTCTAACTTCATTTAATGTGAAACAAGGTCGGTGCCCTACCTCAGATGTGAGTCGCTTGGATTCTTTAAGCGCTGACCCAATGTTAGAAGAACATGCGTGGTTAGAAGCATGTGGTCGAGCAGAGACATCTAACACCTGGGCGGGATTCCACTCCCGGCGGTCCCCTGAAGTCGAACACCTGGCCCGATTTGCCGTGCTTCCGCCATTCAATAATTTGGCGCACACTGTGGAAATGATGGCACACAGTATCAGAGTAGCCATAAAAGCAACTAAGCTTTTAAACCCTGATCAGCTTGCAGTCCTTGGTGGTGACTTGCCACTTTTCGCGTTATTGAAAGAAATCCAGTATACTTGCCCTGAAATATATGGAGAAGATAAAATTTTTATAATGATGGGTGGCATGCACATTGAAAAGGCGGCGTACACTCTACTGGGAGACATACTGGATGGAAGCGGTTGGTCCGCTGCACTTGTAGAGTCGAAAGTGACTACCAAAGGCAGGGCTGACTCTATGCTGACGGCTTCCCACATCACTCGCACTAGATATGTGCACCAGGTACTAAATAAAAATGGCGCTTTAAAATTTATTTAATTGCTGTTCCTGAGGGCACTATTAATATTTTTCATTCTATTTTCAGGTCACTGCTGCTGCATTTTACAGCCTAAAGTGGAAAGCATATGCGGAGTATGCAGGCGATGACCCCTTGTCTTTTGAGGATTGGTGTCACTCAAAGCAGAAAACTCCCCAGTTTCGGTTTTGTGACATCGTTTTGAACCTCATTCTAGCCATTCTGCAGTTGGTCCGGGCAACGCGAACTGCCAACATAGAGCTTTACATTCAGGCTCTTACAAGAATAGTTCCCTTTTTCTTTGCACTTGACCATCAAAACTATGCTCGATGGCTGCCAATCCATTTGAGGGACCTCATTAATTTGGAAAAACACCACCCTGAATTGTGGAACGCATTCCAGAAGGGGTATTTTGTTGCTGCTAAATCTTCACGGCGGTTTTCTACTATTTCTCTGGACCAAGCTCATGAGCAGCTTAATGCTACTCTGAAAGGAAATGGAGGTACGAAAAACATTTTGAAAAAAATGTCCGGCTAACAAACTTTCTGAGATATTAACTGTTACTTTTTTTAACAGGTGTAGTTGGTTTGACAGACAGTCCTTCAGCGCTTTTGAATTGGATTCTTTTTGCGCCTGAAATTGCCGACATCGTCGACAAATTTGAACAAAATACCTTTAACTTTGATCCTGATTCGGATGCGCACCACTTTGACACGGAATCGGCGAGATCAAATTTTCTCCGTGACAAAACTGCACTAGAAGAATATTTTGAGAACACTGGTAAATTTTATTTTATACGAGTAGCGTGACTAACCTGTACTAATTAAAATCCATATACATCACTTTTGAAATGTGCATATATTTTTTCAGGAAATCCTTTTGCTGAGGAAGGAATAAATCTCTACAACTTCGACACACGTCGCTGTGCTTCTGCAGATGTTGTCGACACCTTTTTGAACCTGGAAGCAAAGGGAAATGAACAGTATTTGAAATACACACAGGAAAGGCTGGTAACTGGAGAAGTGTCCATTCATGCTCCGATCAAGCAAAACAAATTCCCTACATTTGCTAAAAATATGAGGCCTGCCAACAAAAATCAAAACCAAAAGGAACAAATAAAGGCCCTCAAAGACGAGAGTGAACTTTTTGGAAAACTGTTTGTTGCTATAAGCAGGGGCAGGCCATCAGACCTCAATTTATTTTTCTCCCACGAAAATACGGATATTCCGCCTTCGCTTTTTCTCAATGATGGAAGTATGAGGCCCCCCAAAAATAATAGTGACTTAGTGAATGACTGCCTTGTTCCACTTCAAACCTGCTCACTGTATAACCGGCCGAAAGTCACAGCAAAAATTTTAGATGGTGGTTTTATCGCTCACCTGCTCAAACCTGGCGTGACTGTGACATTTTCAGAGTTTAGGGAGAAGGTATTTTTACCTTTCATAGTTCAAGAGGCCTCATCTGTGTCAAGACTAGACGTTGTATGGGACACGTAAGTTCAAATTTTGCTCACTTTCATTGCGTTTTAAAAATATAACAGAGTTTTAATATTTCTGTATCTTTTTTCTCTCTTAGGTATATTGAACACAGCTTGAAGGATACGACTAGAGAAAAACGAGGGGAAGGACCGAGAACGCTAGTAACTCCTGAGACAAAGCTTCCGAAAAACTGGCCAGATTTTTTGAGAAATGCAGGCAACAAAACTGATTTCTTTGCCCTTCTTGCTAGAAGCATACCCGACTGCAAAATTATGTGCCAGTTGTACTCAACCTTCGGTGAAGCTGTTGTGTCTAATTGTGAACAGAGTGATGTGTCTTTCATCTCACCTTGTAACCACGAGGAGGCGGATACTCGTATGCTTCTTCACGTCGCCGACGCTGTCCGCTCCGGGCACAAGGAGATCATCATCAGGAGCACCGACACCGACGTGGTCGTTCTTGCGGTGGCCTGTGTGGAAATGCTACCGGGACTAGAAGAGTTGTGGGTTCACATCGGGTCAGGAAAGAACCACCGGTATATTGCAGCTCATGAGATATCCAAATCTCTCAAACTGAAATTAGGTAAGAGCAATTAATTACACCTGTGACGGGATGGATTATTATTAGTGTACACATTCGTACAGTTTTAACAATAAATGTTTCCTTTTCATAGGGCCTAAAATGCCACAAGCGTTGCCGGCTTTTCATGCCTTAACAGGCTGTGACACTGTTTCTGCTTTCAACAAAATTGGCAAGAAAGGTGCGTGGAGTGCTTTGACATTGCACCCCCAGACAGTGGACGCCCTTATTGATTTGGCAGAAGGGAATATTGCAGCAGCAAAGAGAAAGCTTTTCCGCTTTGTAATTGCGATGTTCAGCTCGTAAGTACTAAAAATCAGAGACCCTCAAACACCGACATATTGCATTTTACTTAAAATGATTCCCTTTTCCAGTGCGCAATATCAATCGCTGGCGGAGGCACGTCGAGCGCTCTACTGCAGCACAAAACGGTCGATGGACACCATACCTCCAACAGAGGACGTGACTCTGCTGCACTTTTTACGTGCATCCTATTGTGCTCAGGTGTGGAGTCAGCTGACCGTAAGAACTCAAGCCCTTCCCTCGCCATCCGATTGGGGTTTCTCTCTGAAGGAAGACGGCTGGAAGCCAGTGCATCGCTCCCAACCAACGGCTACTGAAGCCTGCAAAGACATCATTGTCAAATGTGGTTGCAAATCGGCATGCCAGGGGAATTGCAGCTGCTCTAAACGGCAGCAAAAGTGCACCGATTTATGTGCCTGTACTTGTAATAAGGCAGATTCAGAAAGTTAATTAATTTCCTTGTGATAGTTGTGATACTATAATAGTACAAAATATTTATATATTTATAATTCAGATAGCAACGAGTGCAGTATGATTGAAATAAGTAGCATGTGATAAATTAGTAGGTACCTAGCTGTGATGTGCGCTGTGAAAAGAAACAGCAATTACCAAAGTAAACGTATTGTAAACTTTCCACAAATATGGTAGTTCCTGTGATAAAAATACTTTTAAGGTACAGTAACAGATTTGCAATATTAATAGAGTTAATGTTTTAAAATGTAAAACACTTACATTGCAGTTGGAACTGGTACAAGAGTCTGGTTATTAAAACGTATTCGTTTTTCATACATTTATTCTGAAAGCTCTTTAATTTCGGTCAGTTAATCTTTTAAATGTGTTCCGAAAGCCAGGTGGGTGGCGCCAGGCCGCACGATCCCATAGTCAAACTCATAGCATGCGCGCATCCACCCATGCGGGCACGCACGCACGCCGGGCGCTCGCTCTCTCTCTCTCTCTCTCTCTCTCTCTCACACACACACACACACACACACACACACACACACACACACACACACCACTCCGGGTACATTATGACTGAAAAACAACTACTTTTAGCAATTTTCAGCGAGTTTTAGCGATATTTTGGCGCCGCAGGGGTAGGCAACCCGCAATACACAAGCGAGTTGGTGAAATTCAAGTGTCTTTTATGTGTCTGTATCCATTGTAATCGATATCGGCTCGAAAAACCAGTCGGAATACACTGTTTTAGCTATTTTGCAAACTTTGCCCCTGCGAGGTATGCAACCCCGCCTAGACCGAACCAGACACGGGCACGACTTGGGCACCACTTCTTAAAAGTAACCTATGGGTATGTACTACATGCCCCTAAGACGGTTTTGCTCTACTATGAAATGCAAGGTTGGTCTCATATTCGAGGCTTAACAAGCGCACTATATGAATCAGGCGTAGTCTTTGATGCAGGAGCAATGATTTAAAAACCCCAGCCGGAG